AATTCAAGGAGTACATACAGTGAAGGACTGAAACCTGAACAAGTGTTTGTGACAAAACAGGCCTGTTTTGGAAGAAAATGCCAAGCAGGACCTACATTACTGAGGAGGAAAAGCACCCCCAGGTTGTTAGTTGCCACTCCATCTAAGTACTGAACAAGTTTTTCCCCAACCCAAATTTTCTGTTTGGTTGGCTGTTATCACTAATCTTTGTAGGCCCCAAAAAATGTGAAGAAAAACTAAAAATAGTTTACAGCCAAGTTCTGGCAGGTCGTATTTGTTTGGTAGAGTGCTGAGCTTTGTTGGAGTAGGGAGCTGGTCGTGTACCGAGGTTACACTGTATTTGAGATTTACCTAAGAAAATAGATGTGCAGTTTGTGAATACATGATGACAAATTTTGCCCCTATCATAATTGTTTTGACGATAAATCTTTCTGATCGTATGCATTATTATGGCACTTGTATATTTAAAAGAAATATTAAGACTTTTTTCTCTATCATTGACATTGCAGGAAGGGGAGTGCAAAAGAAAGAGTAGGCACCCTGAGCAGGTACATTTTGGGTTTTGTATTTCAAAATTGTGTAGCATAAGATTTTTTCCCCTTAGTTTTGTTGGGCCCCAGTATTGTTAGTTGAACCAGTTACATGACTGTCATTGCAAAAGGGTTTGCTCAAATAATGTCAAATGTGTTTCCCTTTGAAAATTTATCTGGCACTTTGGCAAATAATTTTTTCCCTGAGGTCAACATCTGAATTTTAAAATAGCTTATTGAGCAGTGGAAGAAATTAAGCAAAGCTGGTTAAATTTAAAAGCAATGCAATATTTACCATTTTATATTTCAGAATTGTGGCCTAATGTTACTTTACTTTGTACCTCCTATGCATTATAATTAAAACAGAACTAATTACTAAGGTGTGTTGAAGTTCAGTGTGAGAATTTGGTAGCAGTGACTAGAAAATCTTTTTGTATTTTGCAATATTTTTTTTTTTTATCACACTGGCTGATTCCCACCAAGGCAGGGTGGCCCGAAAAAGAAAAACTTCACCATCATTCACTCCATCACTGTCTGCCAGAAGGGTGCTTTACACTACAGTTTTAAACTGCAACATTAACACCCCTCCTTCAGAGTGCAGGCACTGTACTTCCCATCTCCAGGACTCAAGTCCGGCCTGCCGGTTTCCCTGAACCCCTTCATAAATGTTACGAAGGGGTTCAGGGAAACCGGCAGGCCGGACTCGAGTCCTGGAGATGGAAGTACAGTGCCTGCACTCTGAAGGAGGGGTGTTAATGTTGCAGTTTCAGCATTTATGCTGTACTATTGACAGTGTCTAGTAATGTTTATGGTACTGTGGGTCATTAACAGTGTACCATAGTTTAGTGTATCTGATTGTTTCATGAACCAAATTTTGCTCATTTTTAGTTTCCTTGATACTCGTGAAGGGCACTTGTAAATGTGCACTAGGGAAGGTTTGAGGGAGGGGTAAAGGGTTTGAGTGCTAGGAGCTTGGATATAGAACAGGGTTGCTTGTACGAGTTTGATTAGAGCGAAGGTAACTGGTATTTATGATTTGACAGGCTGTTGGAGTAAAGTTAACATGTAGGTATCCAGGGAAATTGAGTAGCCAGACTAGTCCTGGAGGTGGGAAGTACAGTGGCTGCACTCAGAAGGTGGGGTGGGGATGTTTGGATGATTATCTGAACTGAAGTTGGTGCACTGCTGACAAGACTGATAGGTGGATAGAAAGGCAGTCTTTGATGTAGGATGTACTGTTGTCTGTGCAAGGTAGCATTCAGGAACTGCCTGGTTTGAGTTCTGGTGATAGGGCACAGTGCTTGTATTTTGAAAGAAGAGTGGCTGTTACTACTTGATGCAAAATAATGTTCCTTCTGGTTAATTGATATAATCACTGCAGGATGTACTCTTTAGTTACTAATTTTTTTTTTTTCTCAAAAAGTCTGCAGTCTCCCACCAAGGCAGGGTGACCCCCCCCCCCCCCCAAAAAAAAAAAAAAAAATCCCCAAAAGGTAAATACTTTCATCATTCAACACTTTTACCTCACTCATACATAATCACTGTTTTTGCAAAGGTGCCCAGATACAACAGTTTAGAAGCATATATAAAGATGTATTAACATCTCTCCAAACTGCCAATATCCCAAAACCCCTCCTTTAAAGTGCAGGCATTGTACTTGCCATTTCCAGTACTTGAGTCTGGCTATATAAAAATAACTAAGTTTCCCTGAATCCCTTCACTATTACCCTGCTCATGCTCCAACAGCTCGTCGGGGTCCCTAAAACCATTAATCTCCATTTGCTCCTATCTAACATGCTCAAGTGCACTTGCTGGAAGTCAAAACCCCTCACCCACAAAACCTTTACCCCCTCCTTCCAACCTTTTCAAGGACAACCCCTAACCCCAGCCTTTCCCCTACAGATTTATACCTTTCCGTGTCATTCTACTGTGACCCATTCTATTTAAATGACCAAACCACCTCAGCAACCCCTCTTCAGCCCTCTAATACTTACACTAACTCCACACCTTCTAATTTTCACTCCTAATTCTCTGCATGATATTTGCACCACACATTGCACTTAGGGTATTCTCCGCTGCCTCCAACCGACTCCTCGCTGCAGCATTTACAACCCAAGCTTCACACTTTTTTTGCCTCATAGATAACATTTTTTGTCTCCACATATGCCACTTGCCTTTTAACCTTCATCAATTCTGTGGTTAACCTCATCCTTCATAAACCCATCCGCTGGCATGTCGGCTCCCAAATATCTGAAGACATTCACTTCTTCCATACTCCTCCTCTCCAATTTGATATCCAATTTTTCTTTATCTAAATCATTTGATAAACTCGTCACCTTGTTCTTTTCTGTGTTTCCCTTTCAAATTTCTACCTTTACACGCCCTCCCAAACTCGTCCACTAACCTTTGCAACTTTTCTGTAGAATCTTGCATTAGCACAGTATTATCAGCAAAAAGTAAGTGTCAACTCCATTTTGTACTAGAATTCCCCATAATTTAATACCACCCTTCTCCCCATCACCCTAGCATTTGCATCTTTTACAACCCCATTTGTAAATATATTAAACAACCATGGTGACATTACACATCCCTGGCTTAGATGTACTTTTACTGGGAAGTAATCTTCTCTTCTACACGCCCTAACCTGAGCCTTGCTATCCTCATAAAAACTTTACAGCATTTAGGAACTTACTACCTGTTCCATATACTTGCAATGTCTGCCACATTGCTCCCCAATCCACTCTATCATATGCCTTTTCTTAATCCATAAACGCAGTGAAAACATTCCCTACCTTTATCTAAATACTGTTCACGTATACATATGCTTCAATGTAAACACTTGATCTACACATCCCCTACCCACTCTAAAGCCTCCTTGCTCATCTGCAATCCTACTCTCTTGCCTCTAATTCTTGCAATAATCCTACCGTACGCTTTTTCCTGGTACACTCTGAACTTATTCCCCTATAAATTTTACTCTTTATATAAAGGAACTATATGTGCTCTCTGCCAATTCCTAGGTACCTTCCCCTCTTTCATACATTTATAAACAAAAATACCAACCACTCCAACACAATTTACCCCCCATCAGTTCCAGCTGCTTTACCTCCTTTCATTCTAAGTAATGCCTCATGCACTTCTATCACACCTTTTACTTCATCCCACCAATTGCTCTTTCCTTCTGCACCACCCCTACTATAACCACGAACTTCTGCCCCACATTTTAATACTGCATTTTTTAAACTATTCCAACCTTCTTCAAACCCCCCACTACTCATACTTGCACTAGCCCACCTTTCTGCTAATTGTTGCTTATATTCGCCTGAACTTCCTCCTCCTTTAGTTTATACTTTTGCCTCTCATACTTGTTGCCATTTTTTCTTCTCCCATCTACCTCTTACTCTATCTGAAGCCTACCCATCAAACCTTTTATCCACCAATACATAATCTAACTACTTTCATTGTGTGCCATGTCATACCTTGTATACTTTTTTTATCCTCTTTTCCATAAAATGTATTAATTATTACCTAACCTTTCTACACAGTTAAATTAAAGGCTTCCCATTTTCATTCACCCCTGGCACCCAAAATTTACCTACTCCCTCCACCACATTTTTATGCACTTTAGCATTGAAATCCCCAACCCCAAGTACTCACACTTGGTTCAAAACTCCCCCCTGTACTCGCTCAACATTTCTCACAATCTCTGCACTTTTCTCCTCCAGTTGCATAAATGCTTACTATAACCCACTTTTCACATCCAACCCTTATTTTACTCCACATAATCCTTGAATTAATACATTTATATTCACTTTTCCTCCCATGACTTATCCTTCAACATTATTGCTAATCCTTCTTTAGCTCTAACTATTTGAAACCCCTGACCTAATCCCTTTTTATTTCTTCCCTACTGAATATAGGAAGTTAATGTCTTAATTCCTAAGTATATCTGTTAATGGATAATCATGATGCTTTATCCCTACATTATTTGATATGTATATGAAATATGCCAGAACTGAATGATTTTGACTAAAATTAAATATTTTGTGATTTATGTAATGCTGATTAAATTTTTCCTTGAGCAGGTGTGCATTTGCAAGCTTTCATCCTACTCCAGTCCAGTTTAAGGTTAGAATATTGTAAATTTGGATTTTTGTTCCTGCACTTAATTGGGATTAATGGTCTTTAAAATTTTTAAATTGTGATTACAAAGGGTTGAGTCTTTGCAAGGTGATTCTTCATTTTTTTTTTCAATTTTTTTTCTCTATGCAAAATTAATATGATGACACTATCGATATCGCCCCAGTCGTAATGGTTTTGACGATTAGATTTCTGATTATCCTGTTTAGTGTTAACTAAATTCTCTAAAGCTGTGTCTCTAATGTACTGTTTTTCTTTGCAGTGCCTCTGGGCTGTCAACCGAAGTCTTTGGAGGTAAATATTTATAAGTTTAAAAGTGTGTGTTTATGAAAAGTAATTTATACTACTAGTAATTGAGTGAAGATAATTTCTTAGTTTGGGGGCTTGGCATTCAGTAGGAATGTTTTAGAAGAGTAATGGAAAGATGGGGAGCGAGACGTCCAGGTAGGTACGAACTAACATGAGGGATGGACACAATGTATATACAATCATACATGCGCACAGGGAGGGAGTGGCAGATGGAGAGATGTAGTTCAGGAGATAGGGAATAGTGTTTATTTTAAAGGATGGGGATGCAGTGTTAAAATTTCAAGGGTAATTTGAATTGTGGTTATTGCTACATTGTGAAATAGTGAATGTTCCTTCTGGTTAATTGCCATAATTACTACAGAATATACTCTAGTTAGGTATCCTGAACATAAGTTGCCTTAATTCCTAAGTATTATCTATTTAAGGATAATCATGATGCTTTTTACCTACATTATTTGATATGTATATGAAATATGCCAGAACTGAATGATTTTGACTAAAATTAAATATTTTGTGATTTATGTAATGCTGATTAAATTTTTCCTTGAACAGGTGTGCATTTGCAAGCTTTCATCCTACTCCGGTCCAGTTTAAGGTTAGAATATTGTAAATTTGGATTTTTGTTCCTGCACTTAATTGGGATTAATGGTCTTTAAATTTTTTAAATTGTGATTACAAGGGGTTGAGTCTTTGCTCCTGACCCCTCTTAGCTTTCTAGTTATGAGATGTACTACTTCTTAGCCTTGTGGACTGTTATATTCTGCTCTTAAAACTGCATGGAATTTGCCTCCAGCAATAAAGCTGTATGGTAGGCTAACTGTAGCTAAAAAATTTTTTGTTTACATTAGCATGTACATTTAGTAAACTTTGGTTTGCTCTTCCATCAAAAACTTTCACTGTTCAGACTCCTAAGATTAATATTACACAAATAACCCGCATATAAAAGAGAGCTTACGACGACGTTTCGGTCCGACTTGGACCATTGACAGTCACACTAACAGGAGTGGAGCAGGACGGCTATATTTAGGCAGGAAGAGGTGGTGGTAGTAGTACAAGAATGGTATATAATACCGACAAGATGAAATTAAGACACGTGCGCAACACCTGGGCATCCCTATCGTAGACATTTCGCCACCCAGCCAGCCACTGGATGGCGAAACGTCCACAACAAAGACAACCAGACGCTGCTGTCTTAATTTCATCAGTAGTTGTAGTAGTAGAAGAGGTAGTAGTCTCAGTAGTACCAGTTCCTAGTAACCAGTTACCAGTAGATGACTCGCTACCAACGATCTGTGTGAATCATTGACTGTATTCATATTGCTGCTGACCATAGCAGGATTTCAAACACCCTCACCTGTAGGCACTATGAGTCAGTCGTAGTTAGCCAGCAGAGACAGGTCGGCTGTTGGTGCTTCCCATACTTCCCGTTATATATTATACGTACTACCAGCCTACGTGAGTATTTTTACCCATCCACGTATCAAAAACCCACATGACAGTAGTAGTAGAGGTAGAAGTGGGAAATAAGGAGGACAAGCCAGTCAAATACAAAGGAAGGGGAGCACTGCAAGAGAGCTAGGAGCCCACTGAGGGAGAGCAAGCGCGCAGAGGTGCGTGAAAGGGGAAGTGGTGAAATAAATGAAGGAACAGAAACATGAGACAGAAGAGACAACCCAGAGGAGAAGAGGAAAGAGGAAAGGGGAAGAGGGTGAAGAAAAAGAAAAAATGAGGAGTCGGGTTAAGTCACGGGTGTTCTGAAGTTTGGAGCATTTTACAACGTAGTGGGAGAGGAAAGCATCTACAGAGATGAAGCCAGGGCTAAGGTTCATACAAGGAAAGTTGTGTATTAGAGAGGATTCAACTAGACGGCGACTGTTCGAGTTGGAAGTAGGAAAGACCGTTTTAGCAGAAGACCAGTCAATAGGATGGCTATGATCTCTTGACGTGACAGAAAAGAGCATTGTAAGTGTCGGCAAGCCTAACACTATTTTTGTGCTCCCTAAGTCTGTCAGAAAGAGATCGACCAGTTTCTCCGAAGTATTGAAGAGGACAGGAGGAGCAAGAAATAGACACAGGAACATCTGTAGAGGGAGGAGAGGTATGAACGAGATTAGTGCGAAGAGTGTTAGTCTGGCGGAAGGCAAGCTTGATGTCTAAGGGACGGAGAGAATTTTTGAGATTAGAAAGACCGGAAATGTAGGGAAGGCAGAGGATAGAAGAGTTCCCAGGAGTAGAGTTTGGGAGAGAAGAAATTGCGTTTGGCACGTGACAGGGCAGAGTCTATGAAATGGGAAGGGTAGCCAAGACGGGAAAACAAATTATGAAGTGTTCTTCCTACCCTCGATGTGCAACCTTCACTCTGGCTCCGCTATGTGGACGACATCTTTGCTCTGTGGCCTCATGACTACAGTCTCTTCCAACATTTTCTTGAAGCTCTTGATAATCTTGCCCCCTTTCCCTTAAGTTTAAAGCTGAATGGGAATCTAATTCCTTGCTTCCTTTCTGATGTCCGTGTCCACCGCTCAGATACAGGTTTTTCCTTTTCCGTTTACCGAAAACCTATGCACAGTGGCATTTACATTCACTACTTTTCCTATCATGCTTCCCCTGTCAAGAAAAGTGTTCTCATCTCCCTCTTTCTCCGTGCCCTCCGCATCTGTGATCCTCAGTTCCTTCCAGCAGAAAAATTTTCCCCTTCATAATTCGTTTTCCCGTCTTGGCTACCCTTCCCAATTCATAGACTCTGCCCTCTCACGTGCCAAATGCAATTTCTCTCTCCCAAACTCTACTCCTGGGAACTCTTCTATCCTCTGCCTTCCCTACATTTCCGGTCTTTTTAATCTCAAAAATTCTCTCCGTCCCTTAGACATCAAGCTTGCCTTCCGCCAGACTAACACTTCACACTAATCTCGTTCATACCTCTCCTCCCTCTACAGATGTTCCTGGTGTCTACTCTATTTCTTGCTCCTCCTGTCCTCTTCAATACTTCGGAGAAACTGGTCAATCTCTTTCTGACAGACTTAGGGAGCACTAGAAGTGTTAGGCTTGCCGACATTAACAATGCTCTTTTCTGTCACGTCAGAGATCATAGCCATCCTATTGACTGGTCTTCTGCTAAAACTGTCTTCCCTACTTCCAACTCGAACAGTCCCCGTCTAGTTGAATCCTCTCTAATACACTATCCTTGTATGAACCTTAGCCCTGGCTTCGTCTCTGTAGATGCCTTCCTCTCCCTCTACATTGTAAAATGCTCTAAACTTCAGAACACCCGTGACTTAACTTGACTCCTCATTTTTTTTTTTCTTCTCCCTCTTCCCCTTTCCTCTTTCCTTTTCTCCTCTGGGTTGTCTTTCTCTTCTGTCTCTTGCTTCTGTTCCTTCATTTATTTCACCACTTCCCCTTTCACGCACCTCTGTGCGCTTGCTCTCCCTCAGTGGGCACCTAGCTCTTGCAGTGCTCCCCTTCCTTTGTATTTGACTGGCTCCTCCTCCTTATTTCCCACTTCTACCTCTACCACCTCTTCTACTACTACTACTACTACAACTACTGATGAAATTAAGACACAAGTGCGGCGTCTGGGTTGTCTTTGTTGTGGACGTTTCGCCATCCAGTGGCTGGCTGGATGGCGAAAAGTCTACGGTAGGGATGCCGGGTGTTGCGCATGTCTTAATTTCATCTTGTCGGTATTATATACCATTCTTGTACTACTACCACTACAAACTACTACTACCACCTCTTCCTGCCTATATATAGCTGTCCTGCTCCACTTCTGGTTAGTGTGACTGTTAATGGTCCAAGTCGGACCGAAACGTCATCGTAAGCTTCTCTTTTATTTGCGGGTTATTTGTGTGTCATTCCAGTCACGGTATTGTATTTTTTATTTAAGATTAATATTGCTCCTATTGTCCACTTTTTAACCCTTTAACTGTTTGATGCTATCAGTGGAATTTGGCCATGAAACTCTAGGTATGCAACCCATATAAACCAGTATTCGTTGAATAATTTTTGATGCGTACTACACTGAAATAATTGTAATACAAGGGCAGTAGGGCCTCGCTTTACAGCATTCCGCTAATGTGGACATTTCAAATTATGACTATTGCTCCCCCAACCTGTCTTTCTAATACGGTAACTGCGCCCCACCTGGTGACCTCCATGTCTCTCCATTATGTCTGGAGTCTTCCAAAATTTCAAGGGGTTTTTTTTTTTTTTTTTATAAAAGGTTGGCTGTCTCCCACCAAGGCAGTAACCAAAAAAAGAAGGAAAAAAAAAAAATCCCAAGAAAGAAAATATCATTCAACACTATCACCACACTTGTACATAATCACTGTTTTTTTGCAGAGGTGCCCAGAACACAACAGCTTAGAAGCATATACATATAAAGATGCACAACATATCCCTCCAAACCGCCACTATCCCAAACCCCTCCTTTAACCCTTAAACTGTCCAAACGTAGATCTACGTTTTTTAACATTTGAAAGTATGTAAAAAAACGTAGCTGCTTTTTGTTTTACATTTGAAAATGTGTAAAAAACTTTGATCTACTTTTTTTATATATTATTTGGAAAATATAAAGGGCTATGCATGTGAACACGGATCTCTTTAGACAGTTTAAGGGTTAAAGTGCAGGCATTGTACTTCCCATTTCCAGTACTTGAGTCTGGTTATATAAAAATTAGCAGGTTTCCCTGAATACCTTCACTAAATATTGCCCTGCTTGCACTCCAACAGCTTGTCAGGTCCGAAATGCCATTCGTCTCCATTCACTATCTAACACGCTTGTGCATGCTTAATGCTGGAAGTCCAAGCCCCTCGCCCACAAAACCTCCTTTACTCCCCTTCCTCCAACCTTTTCGAGGATGACCCCTACTCCGCCTTCCTTCCCCTACATATTTATATGCTCTCCATGTCATTCTACTTTGACCCATTCTCTCTAAATGACCAAACCACCTCAACCCCTCTTCAGCCCTCTGACTAATAATTTTATTAACTCCACACCTTCTAATTTCCACACTGAATTCTCTGCATAATATTTACACCAGACATTGCCCTTAGACAGAACATCGCCACTGCCTCCTTGCTGCAGCATCTACACCAAGCTTTACACCCATATAAGAGTATTGATACCACTATCCTTTCATACATTCCCTTCTCTGCCTCCATAGATAATGTTTTGTCTCCACACATACCTCAATGCACCCTCGCCTTTTTTCCTTCATCATTCTATGGTTAACCTCATTCTTCATACATTCCATTTCCGCTGACACGTGAATTTTCCCAAATATCTGTAAACATCCACCTTCCATACTCCTCTTCCAATTTGATATCCAATTTTTTCTTAATCATTTGATACCCTCATCACCTTACTCTTTTCTATGTTCACTTTCAACTTTCTACCTTTACACACACTCCCAAACTCGTCCACTAATCTTTGCACGAGTTATGTTATACTCTGATAATTATACTTTTGTACCTGTACCTAAATAAACTTGCACTGTGCTAGCATGCGGGTACACGTTAAAATCGGTCTTATTAATCTGAAGATATCATAACAATCACTGAAGCATATTTAATGTCAGACATTAAGTTACGTTAAACCCTTTGACTGTCGCAGGCCCTTTACTGAAACTGTCATTCAATGTCGATAATTTTTGGAAAAAAAAAAAAAATTTCTTATGAAATGATAGAGAATCTTTTCCCGATGGTAATGACACCAAAAGTTCAAAATTTGGTCGAAAACTCTGGTGAATTATGCTCCCGCGAAATTAGCGGTCTTGGCAAAATGTTTGTATCAGCAATTTCGCCAACTTTGAGCCCTGTTTCAGCCAATTCCGTTGTTCCAGTTGACCAAATTCATAGCTATTTCTTTAGAAACTCCATTTTATCTATCAGCTGAGTACAAGAAACTGGCCCATTTACCAATTTGAACTACCCAATATAGTGGTCAGAAATTTGCAATTTGGCCAATTTCACGCAAATTAAAAAAGATGCCAATTTCAAAATAGGGTCCAGAATGAACAAGGTAGACATTCTTGGCTCTAAAATAACATATCCTCTGTTCATTAGTCACATTTCTAGGCCCCTCTTATATTATTGCTTTCTATTTTGATTTTTTATTCATACAAAAATTTACTGGTATGCAGACAACTGCATTATTGTAAAAAATGGTATAAATAATATCAGTGCACTAGTGAAAGAATTAGACTCCCCAGTTGACGTTGTGGTTGTGATTTGTTTACTCCTGAACATTGGTAAAATCGAACATTTCCGCTACTTTGAGCTCGGTTTCAAGGTCGTTTTAATCGTCAAAGTAATGAAAATCATCTCTATTCCTGTAATACGTTTTCCATTTCATCACCTAAGACCATGAATACGCAAATACAACGATAAATACTATACGAAAATACACCTCAAAGTCTGTGCTTTAATCAAAAAAAGATCATTTTTTTTTTTCTCATTACGCACTCTGCGCTGCAGGTTTTTGTGGTGCACACTGACCACACACACCCTCTCTAACATGTGGGCCTACCAGCTTTCTCCCGCTTGATTTGAAGCCGCTAGAATTAGAGTATATATGCGTCAGAAACATTGGCTCGTAAGACGTATTTATACTGCGTAAACAGTCAAAGGGTTAATAGTCATTTTAATTAATCCGTGTGATATCTTTTCAAAATTTTTACTAAACTTGCTATGTAACATGTACACCCTCCCAAACTCGTCTGTTAACCTTTGCCACTTCACTTCAGAATATCCCGTAAGCACGATGTTAGCAACACAAAGTAACTATCATTTTGTATTTGATTCCCCATAATTTAATCCCACCCCTCCCCAACACCCTAGCTATTACTTTTACAATCCCCTCTTTGAATGCTAAACAACCATGGTGACATTACACATCCCTGTCTAAGATCTACTTTTACTGGGAAGTGATCTCCCTCTCCTACAACACCCTAACCTGAGCCTCGCTACCCTCACAAAAACTCTTCTCAGCACTTGCAGTATCTGCCACATTGCTTCTCTATCCACTCGTATCTTTTTTTTTTTTTTTTTTTCTTCACATCGGCCATTTCCCACCAAGGCAGGGTGGGCAGCTAGAGGCATGCTTACACTACAGTTTTAAAACTGCAACATAACTCTGTACTTCCCATCTCCTGTCTAACATGCTGGAAGTCCAAGCCCCTTGCACACAAAACCTTTACCCCCTCCAACTTTACTAGGCCTACCCTGTCTTTCCCCCCACTACAGATGTATACTCATTCTATTTCATTCCTTCCTCTCTAAATGTCCAAACCATCTCGATAACCCCTAATCAGCCCTCGGGATAGTTTTGGTAATCCCACACCTAATTTCCAAACTACAGATTCTCTGCGTTATATCCACACCACACATTGTCCTTGGATGTGAAAAATCACTGCCTCCAGCCTTCTCATTGCAACATTCGTCACCCATGTTTCACACCCATGTAAGAGTGGTTGCTGTCAACCAACGTATGCCTTTTCTAAATCCATAAATGCAATGAAAACTTCCCTGCCTTTACCTAGATACTGTTGACATGTATGCTTAAACTGTAAACATCTGATCTACACATCCCCTACCCATTCTAAAGCCTCTTGCTCGTCTGCAATCCTGCTCTTTCAATAACCCTACCATACACTTTACCTGGTATACTCTGTAAACTTATTCCCCTATATTTTTAAAAATATTTGTCTCCCTGTTATATAAAGGAATTACACATGCTCTGCCAATCTCTAGGTACCTTCATTGACATCCCCAACCACAAGTACTCTCTTGCTCGATTCAAAAACTCCCCACACACTCTACACTTCCCAAAATATATCTGTCCTCTACTCTTCTGTCTTCTGCAGGTGCATAAACACTTATTATAACCCACTTTTCACATCTTGCCCTTATTTTACTCCACATAATCTCTGAATTTATACATTTATATTCCTTCTTTTCCTGGCACTATTGCTACTCCTTCCTTAGCTCTATTAGAAGCCCCTGACCTAATCCTGTTTTTCTCCCCACTGAAATCTTACTCCCTTTTGGCTTTGCTTCACTTGGCCATGACTTCCAACTTTTCATTCATAGCATCCACAATCGTCTAATTTGCACTACAGCTGCGCACATTCAAACATCCCACTTGGGCAGTTTTGTTCTTTTTCTATTTAGTAGGCTATATGGGAAAAGGGGTTACTAGCCCATTGCTCCCAGCATTTAAGTTGACTTTTTACGACACTACGGCTTATGGAGGAAAGATTTACTCCACTCCCCCATGGATGTGAAAGGAAAAGTAACGAGAACAAGAAATATGTATTAAGATAAAATCAATTAAAACTCAGGTAAGTGTATACATAAATATGTATGCATCTGTAGTGTGACGTAAGTTTAACCCTTTGAGGGTCCGTCCGTAGATCTACGGCTTTACGTTCAGGGTCCAAACCGTAGATCTACGTCATGAGCTCGGCTCACTCTGATAAACTGGTACATTTGGGCCTAGATATGAGAGAATACATCTGTGGTATGTGTGCACCACATAAAACAGATCCTGCAGCACGCTGTGTATAATGCGAGAAAAAAACTGAAATAATGATTTTAGATTAAACAGCGACTTTGCAGTGTTTTTTCATGTTTTTTATAGTTCTATTTGCGATTTCTTGGTCTCATTTGATAGAATGGAAGACATATTACAGAAATAGAGATGACTTTGATTGGTTTTAGCACTGGAAATGGCTTGAAACTGAGCTCAAAGTAGCAGAAATGTTAAATTTTTTGCCGATATTCAAGAGTAAACAAACGACCTCACACGTCTAATACACGCCAGCTGGTGGGTCTAAAAATTCATTCACAAATATGGTGATATTTATACAATTATTACAGTATTGCATAACAGTAAATCTTCTATTTTATGGTGTGAATAAAAATTCATTATGTGAATAAGAAATCAAAATGGAATTTATTTGCAAGCTTCAAAACGTAACTAATGAACAGAGGAAATGTTAGTTTAGTTCCAGGAATACCTACATTGTTTATTCTGGACCCTATTTTGAAATTGGAATATTTTGAATTTTGTGTTAAATTGGCCAAATTAACAATTTCCGATAACTTTAATTTGTAGTTGAAACAGTAGACTTGGTGGTTTCTTGTGCTCAATCGATAGAATAGAAGTAATAGTAGTGAAATAGCTAAGAATTTGGTTGACTGGAATAATGTAATTGGCCTAGATGGGAGTCAAAGTCGGCAAAATTGCAGATTCGTAAAAATCGCTGACCCCATCAAAATTTGCGAGAGCATAATCTCGTCAATTTTCCATCAAGTTTCGTACTTTTTGTTTTATTACCTTCACAAAAAGATTCTCTACCATTTCATAAGAAAAAATATTTTTTTTTTTTTTTTTTTTTTTAATTCTTGGACACTGGGGCACCACTTCAGATTTGGGCCTTGGACCCTGAAGGGGTTAAGTAAAGTAGCAAGACGTAGCTGAAATCTCATGTTTGAGACAGAAAAGACACCAGCAATCTTACTATTTTGTAACAGATGCAGGCTTCCATTGTACATTCGCTTGGCAGTATCTAGTAACTTTCCAAATGGTTGTTTGTATCCCAAACCCTCTACTACCTACATGTTCTAACTTTTTGTGTTAAAATTCTGTTTACCCCGTGTGCAGGTCCCACTTGAGTGAAGCAATGTTTGAAATGCTAAAACACCTTGAAACACATCTAATATAAAAAAATCATAAAACCCAGGGGTCAGTAAATTATTAAGCCTAATGATTGCTGGTGCTTTGATGCCCCTGTTGCCATTAGTGATTATTTTTTCACCAGCTTCAACATTCCACTCACCTAGTTCATATTCATTTTGAAAAGTTAACTATCAAACTAAGTTTTTTTTTTCTCTCTCAAAATCCCTCCCCACCCCACCCCAAAGAATTTTTTTCCCAGTCTCCTCACAGTTAAAGGGTTAAATTCTTATAGTAAACATACACTGAAAGTAATATAAAAATACCAAGTTTGATGGAATGTCAGTTACACCCGGGGACAAAGTAAGCATTTCCCAGTGCAATTTACACATTGGCGATTTCACTTTCTTTGGGTCCTATTTTGAGTAATTACATTGCTGCATTCAACCAGATTCTTAGCTATTTTGCTAATGTGCCTTTGTTTTATCAAATAAGTGCAAGAAACTGTACAGAAATCTGCAATTTGGATATTTTTATTCCCCAAAAAATCCTATATATAAAAAAAAATGGAAAACTATGTAGGCATTCCTAGCACAAACAATTACCTTTTCATTATTTGTGTCCCCAGGCCTCTCCTATATATTTACTTTCCTTCCATTTTGGCTGTGATGTCTTGTGTGAATGCCACTGAGAGGGGTTATGTTAGCAAAAGTACTGGGATAAGTTGGCAAGGTGATTCACATGTTTTCAAATTTTTTTTCTCTATGCAAAATTAAAAGTGATGACTCTATCGCCCAGTCGTAATGGTTTTGCCGATTCGATTTCTGATTAACACTAAACAGGATAATTAAAATTTTCTAAAGCCGTGTCTCTAATGTACGATCTTCTTTGCAGTGCCTCTGGGCTGTCAACCAGGAAGTCTTTGGAGGTAAATGTTTGTAAGTTCAAAAGTGCATGTTTATGAAAAGTAATTTATACTACTAGTAATTGGGTGAAGATAATTTCCTAGTTTGGGGGCTTAGCATTTAGTAGGAATGTTTTAGAAGAGTAATGGAAAGATGGAGTGATGTCCAGGTAGGTACGAACTAACATGAGGGATGGGCACAATGTATATACACAATCATACATGCACACAGGGAGGGAGTGGCAGATGGAGAGATGTAGTTCAGGAGTTAGGGAATAGTGTGTTTGTATTTTAAAGGATGGGGATGCAGTGTTAAAATTTCAAGGGTAATTTGAATTGTGGTTATTGCTACATTGTGAAATAGTGAATGTTCCTTTTGGTTTATTGCCATAATCACTACAGAATGTACTCTAGTTAGGTAACCTGAACATAACTGAACATAAGTTGCCTTAATTCCTAAGTATTATCTTTTTAAGGATAATCATGATGCTTTATGCCTACATTGATATGTATATGTATACATGTATATGTATATTTTGATATGTATAGTTTTGGAGTGGTTGGTGCAATTATTTAATGTATGGAAGAAGGTAAGGTACCTAGGGATTGGCAGAAAGCATGCATATGTTCCTTTGTATAAAGGCAAAGGGGACAAAAGAGTGAAAAAATTATAGGGGGATAAGTTTGAGTATACCTGGTAACGTGTGTGGTAGTTATTGAAAGAATTAAGAGTAAGACTGAGAATAGGATAGCAGATGAACAAGGAGGCTTTAGGAAAGGTAGGGTGTGTGGGCTAAATAAGGTTAGAGGTCTTTGTGGCATTTATGGATTTGGAAGAGGCGTATGACAGGGTGGATAGGGGAGCAATGTGGCAGATGTTGCAGGTGTATGGTGTAGGTTACTGAAAGCAATGAAGAGTTTTTATGAGGATAGTGAGGCTCAAGTTAGAGTATGTAGGAAAGAGGGAAATTATTTCCCAGTAAAAGTAGGCCTTAGACAAGGATGTGTGATGTCACCGTGGTTGTTGAATATATTTGTAGATGGTAGATAGGTAGTAGGTTGGTAGACAGCAACCACCCAGTGCCTCTGGGCTGTCAACCAGGAAGTCTTTTGGAGGTAAATATTTATAAGTTTAAAAGTGTGTGTTTATGAAAAGTAATTTATATTACTAATAATTGGGTGAAGATAATTTCTTAGTTTGGGGGCTTAGCATTCAGTAGGAATGTTTTAGAAAGTAATGGAAAGATGGGAGTGAGACGTCCAGGTAGGTATGGACTAACATGAGGGATGGACGCAATGTATATACACAATCGTACATGCACACAGGGAGGGAGTGGCAGATGGAGAATTGTAGTTCAGGAGATAGGGAATAGTGTTTGTGTTTTAAAAGGATGGGGATGCAGTGTTAAAATTTCAAGGGTAATTTGAGTTGTGGTTATTTACTCAAGAAATCGTAATGACACGATTGGTATGGTTTGTTTGCAATCGTGTCATTACGATTTCTTGAGTCATGTTGACGGCAGTGAAGGGACTTGAGCTAGAGTTCGTCACGGCCACTCTAGCTGGAGATTCGTCTGTAAAAACTTGCATTTGTGGTCACAGTGGTGCCTGTGCTAACCTTCCTATGGTGTAGAAATATACCTAGTTGGATGAATCTTATTGTGGCTAGCTGGTCTAGTGGCTAACGCGACGGGCTGGAGTTTTGACTCTATGACTGCGGGTTCAGTCCCGGCCGGGGTATGGTTTAATTGTGGTTATTGCTACATTGTGAAATAGTGAATGTTCCTTCTGGTTAATTGCCATAATCACTACAGAATGTACTCTAGTTAGGTATCCTGAACATAACTAAACATAAGTTGCCTTAATTCATAAGTATTATCTATTTAAGGATAATCATGATGCTTTATACCTACATTATTTGATATACATGAAATGTGCCAAAAACTGAATTAAGAATAGTATAACATTAAATATTTTGTAATCAAATTTTTTCTAATTATTTTTTCTTTTAACAGGTGTCCCTGGGCAACCTTTTCTTACTCTGATCCAGTTATAGTGCAAGGTTAGATTATTAACTGATAAATTTGTCTTTGAATTTTGTTCTGCACTTGCTTAGGATTACTGGCTTTTCATTGTTGTTGGGGGCTTGTCTTGGCACTTGGCTCCACTTGACCTATTTAGTTGTCAATTTGCACCCTCTTAGCCATATTTGCCCTAAATATTTTACTCTTAATCATCTATGAAATTTGCCTGCATCAGCAATAACTGTTTTGCTGGTGATAAGAACATAAGGAACACTGCAATAGGCCTACTGACCCATGCCAAGCAGGTCCATGCTCTGCCCCCCCCCCCCTCCCCCGGATTAGCCCAATGACCCACCCAGTCTCATCACCTCCACTCAAGGAAGGAGCACGGCACCAGACCCAGCAGCATAAGCTAGCCAGGTCCAACTCGCACCCACTCCTGTATTTATCTAACCTATTTTTAAAACTACACAACGTTTTAGCCTTGACTGTACTTGGGACTTTGTTCCACTCGTCCACAACTCTAATCTGGATTTTTCCATCTTTAAACCATTGCTGCAAGGCCTGTTTTGGCTGGAAATTTTCAGCATGCTATTTACATCCCTTTGAGTCTAATGTGCATTCATGAATGTGCTAATATTATACAATTATTGTGTTCTGAATAACAGTAAATCATCTAATATAATTTTTGTGAATAAAATTCAAAATGAAATGCAAGTGTAATATAAGAAGGGAGTAATTTTGTGTAAAATTGGCAAAATTAGTAATTTCTGATGTAGTTGAAATAGGTAATAGGCAGTTTCTTGTACTCAATAAAATAAGTTTTAGTTTTAGTGAAATGGCTATGAATTTGGTAGGCTGCAATAATTAAATTGGCCTAAAATAGGGTTCAGAGGGGATGAAATCATTGATGCCTAAATGCCACTTACGACTGCTAACTTCAAGAGTGTAATTCCAAAGGTTTTCTGTAAAATTTTGTAATTTTGGTTTCATTACCTTCGGACAAGTTTGCGAGCAGGGGTCGTGACGCTGAAAGGATTAATATTAGTTCACCTATGGCATCTAATGTATTTTTTGGCAAAATATTTTAATGGTAACAGGAATGATTTTTAAATGCATAAACTGTTGTAGTTTGGGTTTGCTAATTAGTTATATACTACATTCAAAAATTGACTTGCTGGGATGAGGTGGCAGCGATTCTGCAATTTTTAACTTTACTCTTGCAAAATTTATGGGGACAAGGTAGCTACTGTGATGGCTCTATCGCCCCAGTCTTAATAGTTTTGATTCGATTTCTGATTAGCCTGTTTTTAAATGTATCTCAATTTTCTGAAGGTACATGTGTAATGTGCAGACTACTTTGCAGTACCCCTGGGTCTCTCAAACCTCAACCAAGAAGACTGAGGTAAATATTTAAAAACCTTTTTGTAATATTGAATAAGTTGTAACATTCAAGTACCACAAATTGCATATCACAAGATAAAAATAGTATATAAGTTTAGCATAATAGTGATTACAATCAAAGCATTGTATATCTGCAATTCAGGCTTTCAAATGGTGAGCCATCTGAAATGTAGGAGTGGTGTAAGGTATTTCCAATGTTTGACATTTCAGAATTCTGAAATTCCACTTGCATTAAATGCATTGAAAATCATTACTAACTGGAGAAATTCATTAAATATAATTTAACAGTTTTGTGTAGGTGTACTAAGGCTTGTAATTATGATGATATTAGGATGAGTCTCCTGAAGATATTCGTCACTTAACCTTTTGTGTAGAATACCCATGCCTGATTTGATAATAGCTTTAATTAACAATTGTCACTGTTGTAATTACTACTGAATTGAATCTTTCTTTACAGGATGGGAAGGTGCTTTATTACACCATCTACAGGTGAGGTAAATTTGATTTTAAATAGCCATTTGAAAGATTTACATAGCTATAGTCATTGCTGCTTGTAGCAGAAAAAATTTGCTTATGCCTTCAGGCTGATCACACTAGTTTGAATGTTAAATTTAATTTTTCATGTTTATTTTGTAAGTTTCAAGACAATAGATGTGCTCAAAGAATGTGAACCCGGGTGGGGTGCTGTGACCATATTAAAAAGATCGGGGGAGCAGTATAGAGAATTTTGGTCATAATTTGAAATGTCCATATTAGTGAAACACCTTAAGGCAGGGCCCTACTGTATTCTCTCTTAACCTTTCACTCTGAAACCCGAAATTTCGTTGCCCACGTCAAAAAAAAATCTGGAATGGTAGAGAATCTTTCTGTAGGTAATGACACCAAAAGTATTAATTTGATAGAAGACTTGTAGAATTGCACAGACTTAGTGGTATCTGGCAGTATTTGCATCAGCAATTTCCATTGCTCCATTCAACCATGAAGTGTAGAGAGGTCTGTATTTGACCATTTTGCAGAAATACCCATATTAAAATAAACACTAGACATTCCTGGCACAAACATTTCCTTGGGAAAAATCTGCTTGCTTTCAAGCTACTTGTGGTCCTGAAAAAAAAAATCACCTTTCAGTAGTATGTCTTCCATTTGGGCAAATACCAATTAATGTTAATGACATTTATATAGGTACACTAGCAGTTATATTTGATTGAAGGAAGTCTCCTGAAGCACAATCATTTGCTCTGTCTTGCTGTTTACTGGAAATCCTTTTGTAACTAGGAAAAGTGTAATAACTGTCTTCAGCTTTTTGCCTAGTGAGTGTTCAGTAAATCTTTACTAACAACATAACATTTTCCTCGGTAGTACCATGTGATCTTTGGGCTGCTTTAGTTTGCTGCACTTGCTGATCATTGCCTTTCTTCAGTGGTAGGTTAGATATGTTTTAAGTTTGATTGCTTCTGGCCCCTTTCCACAATAGTGGAACCTCTGTACTTGAACTGTTCGCCAAAAAGAAAGTTGGTTGGGAAAAATTTGTTTGGTACTCGGACAAAATCAGTACTCGAACAGCTTCCCGGAATGAATTAAGTTAGTGGCAAGGTTCCACTGTATATTGTAATCCATGAAAGTTAATGGAATAGATTGGATATAATATGGGGAGTATTTACTGCTGAAGCTGTCAGTGATGGAATAATAAAGTGCCTTCAAAAGGTTGTCATTTTTCCCCTGAAAAAAGGTACTTTATTAATTTAAAAATATCTCCCCTTTATTTATCTTGTTGATTTTAGCAAGTGGCACTGGTCAAAGGAAACCGCCCTGTTTTTTCCCCGGAAAATGGAAAATTATTAA